TGAAGGTAAAACTTGTATTTTTAAATAGAAAAACAATAAAATTAATATTTTAAATAAAAAATATAAGAATTTACTTCTTAATTTAAATTTTCAAAAAATGCGTATCTTTAATTGAAAAATGATAGTTTATATTTTTGTCTAAACCTTTTCTCAAAATTGATGCAATAGAGATTTATCCTTAGATTGTATTCAATATGATGTATGTTATTACTAATTGTATTTGGTTTTTAAAATTAAATTAAATGAAAAATCGATAAAATCTAATAAAATTATGTGATCCAAGTTTTTATAAATTTTATTCTAATTTTATATAATATGATATTAATATATATCACTACTAAAAAAAGTGCCTTTTTCGGTCCAAGTATTTCGGTCAAGTAATTATCTTGACCGAATAACATTTTATTTCGGTCATATATAATGACCAAAAAATAAGTTTGACCAAATTAAATGGAGAAAGACATGCAGTTCAGTCTCAAGTGATTTCGGTCAATGAAATTAACAAAAATAAAACAATTTCGGTCAAGCTCACTGACCGAATAAAACAAAAGAAAATTTTCCATGCCAAATAGTCACAAATTAGTATAAAATTCACTAATTCGGTCATAAAAAATGACCGGACTAAAATATGCAAAAAAATGATTTTTTCAGTCAGTTGAACTAAATGAACAAATGATGCAAATCTGCAAAATTTGTCTAATTTGCATGGTAAATCCGCATAGCAGATTTTTCAGATTCGTTGGTTAAAAAAAGTTGCTTGAAAAAAATGAAACGGAATTGTTTCCCTGTGCACGCATGGGAGTTCTGTAAATTTGCAGATCTCCCATGCTTGTTTCGGTTACTCACACTGACCAAAACAAGCAATGAATCTGCATTGGGATTCATCATGGCTGTTTCGGTCAGTGTGATGCCTGAAAAAAATCTGCATGGAAATGTGTAGATTTGCAGATTTATTCATGGATTTTTCGGTTAGTGGGACTGACCGAAATATGCCTTCCCTGCTCCAGCTCCTTCTAGCCCCTATTCCGCATGCAAATGTGCAGAATTGTAGAGTTATTCATGGCTTTTTCGGTCAGTGGGACTGATCGAAATATGCCTAAAAAAATCTTTCCCTGCACCAGCAATTTTTAGCTCCTATTCCGCATGGAAAGGTGCAGAGTTTGTAGATTTATTCTTGCTGGTTTCGGTCAGTCTCACTGACCGAATAAAGCTGGAAATCTGCAAAGTAGATATGCAGCATTTGTTCGGTCAGTTTCATTGACCGAACAAATGTTGTGAAAAATTTTGTTTTTCCCTGAATTACGTGTGAAATTGCAATTGAGATTTGAAATAGACTGGTTCATTTTCATTCATCGCATTTTCATTTTTATCAGAAAGTCTTTGCTCTCTTTACTCTTATCATCTCCTCTTTAACTTCTCACTAATTTCTGATTGAATCCATACACAATGAGTTGTTGTTGATTAATTTAGTTAATATTTAGTAATTTTCAAGGCTTTTGATCTAAGAAAGGTATGATTATATACATTCCTCCTCCTTCTTTCTCTTTTTC